CCAGACAAACTTAATATATAAGGATGTTTGCGAGGACTATTCAAACTCCCTGTAATATAGAGCTCATAGTGATACGGTCCTTTCATTCAGCGAACATTCAACTAAGTCTAGAACATGATATTGTGTCTATTCCAATAACTCTGTCTCTGTCTCTCAATCTTTCTAGATGATCCATTACGATCATATTCGATATCCAAAACGAATATATCTTTGCATTGGCCAATGACTTTATGATCCATCTATATATGAGAAGTAGAATGTTCTCTCTTAATCTATTATGAGGAATGAATCCTTTCTTGGCTCAACTACTACTCCATGTGCTTCGTGATGCACCCAACACATGTCGTATCTACCCCGATTGGAGTGCAAGCGTTGGTCATGGTCAAAGTACATCACTCCGCACATGTAGTACGTATTGACCTCAAGTCGGAGGACTATTACACTACTCTATACGCCGATAATCCCATAGACACATGAATAGAACTTATCAAATGGTTTCTCGGTGGGTATGCCAATATTCTCTAACGTATCTATGTGACCATCATGAATTACAGGAACTCATAGTTGTGAGATCAACTATACTTTCTAAAAGTATGATGCAGTCCACATACCAATCTTATCGCATATCATCATATCCTATTCTTGATGATCATTGATTGGGGCTATTTTACGACCTTATGTGATATCATATAAGCTCCCACTTACTTATTGACAACATAAGTCCAAGGGAACACAATTATGAATAAGATATTGACAATCAAAATACTTAATCATCAATGTGTAATACCGTATATATCAAATATATAAAACTGAATGTGATCAAGTACATATATCTCTAAAAAGTGATTGTCGCTAGGACATATATACTAACAATCTCCCACTTGGCCTAGTGCCAATCACCGATGTGTCTAACACCTAGACTCTCAAAAGTCTAGTGTGTTTCTCACATCTCAAAGGTTTGGTGAAAGGGCCAGCCAAATTGTCCTCTACGGGAAGGCATTCTATTACAACTTCTCATCTTGCTATTTGTTATCAAAACATGATAGCATACTGGTATTTTCTAGTTCCTTACTTTGCATCTTAGTTACTTAGCTTGTGCAAATGCACCGGTACAGTCACAATAACAATTATTGGATAACTGTCGCTAGGAACTACCCATATTTCTTTAAAGAACTAACGTATCTAAACACTTACCTATGTTGCATCAAATGCAACAATTTACTAGGCTCTAGTTGTCGAATTTACTAGCATTACTATTACATTGAGACTAAAAACATATACTGACTGTGACTCGTAGTCTTTGTTATCATACATGAAACTAGTGCTCGAATAGTTAAATTCTAATAGTTCTTTCTGTCTACCATAGACAAAAGATATTCATGAAGATTTTGGGTGACCATTCTTTCACGAACTTCAATGAGGGGATATCATTCTCTATGATCAACATATATGATTTTAAAGACCATGTTATCCTTGTTGCGCACTCTAAACACGCAAGCACCCTCATTTCATTTGATGAGGTCAAACGGTTTGACTTTTTCATCAAAAATAATATTTCAACTCCTAGATGCTTGTTCTAGCCCATATATGGATTTCTCCAATTTACATACTGATTTGGGATTTGACTTGGATATAAAACCTTCAGGTTGTACCACGTACACCTCCTCCTTGAGGTTTCCATTAAGGAAATTAGTTTTGACATCCATTTGCCAAATCTCATAATCATAGTATGCTGCTATCGCAAACAAAATTCGAATGGACTTGAGTTTTGCAACTGGCGAATAGGTGTCACTATAGTCAATTCCCTCTCTTTGACTATAACCTTTAGCCACTAGCCTAGCTTTGTATGTTTGCACCTTGCCTTCGGCATCAATTTTCTTCTTGAAAACCCATTTGCATCCAATGGGTCTAACCCCAACAGGCAAGTCAACCAAGTTCCATACTTGATTGATATACATCGAGTCCATTTCAGATTTCATGGCCTCTCGCCACCTCTCTGAATCAATATCTAATATTGCTTCAGTGTAAGTCTTAGGTTCATCCTTGTCAGGAATTTCAACATCATCATGATCCTCCATGAGGAAGCCTAACCTAGTTAGTTCATGATGAATCCTAGTAGACCCGCAGAGTTGAATGTTTTGCGTTTTGTTCAGGTTGTTCATTCTGATCGTGAAGAGGTTCTCTTTTATTGGACTATCCAATGCTTAGAGAGTTTTCTGGTGCTACACTTTTAAGTTTTTCCAGAGAAAGAGAAGTGGGTGCAGAAGGAATGACAACCATGTCATCTTATCTTTAATAAGAATCATTTGCTGGAGCGAGGTAATTCCTATATTACTCCAACTAGATGAAGGATATCCTCCTAGAGACATTCTTCAAGTCAATTCTCCCACTGAATCCTTCGTTAGACCATCTAACAAATCTTCATTCTCTATGTTACTTCAGCTTTCAATTTGATTAGTGCACATTTCTTTACATATGCAGGGCAACCCATATTTAATATGTGAAGAAAATGTCTTTTATCATACTATAACTCATATAGCACGTTTTGCACTGATCAAACTATTTTGAATGTATATTGAGATTTATAGCGTGTACCCTCAAAAGAATGTTTGGAATAGAAAATGAATTCATCATAGATCTAGCCATGTCTAACAAAGCCCTATTTCTCCTTACAGAAACGCCAGTCTTCTAAGGTGTTCTGGAGGAGTTCATTATGACCGAATTCTTTGACCTTTTAAATAAATCAGAAATTTTACTTAAGTACTCTTTGGCTTGCTATCCTTTTCCTAGAAAATGATTATTAGTCAAGTTGCTTGAAAGACAAGATTCGCAATTTCCATATGACTCAAAAGCAAATGATGTTAAATAATCTAATTCATTTAACGTTGCTATTCTTGTTTCATTAATTTGACCAAGTTTGCAATGTCATAGATAGGTAGTAATTTTCTGATTACTTAATCGAGATCCTTTTATTTTATTCATTTAATATCTAATATGTCGATTGATAATTAACCATTCATAAGAAAAGCATTTCCACAACAACACCATTTTATGAAAATAACAATTATTATTAGCAAAATGGAAATAGAAATCTTTTAATGTCTAACATATGAATGGAAATAATCTTCTTGGTAATAGAAGGAATAAAATAACAATTATTTAATTCTAATCTAAAACCACTGGGCAAATCTAAACTATAAGATCCTATCACGTTCAACAACAACTTTTGCTCCAGCCTTCACGCGTAGGTCAATTTTACCCAGTCCAACTGCTACACTGCTTCTCAGGCTTCTGCACATTTTTACAAATGTGTAAGCCATAAGTTGTATCTAATACTTTAACAATGAGAGTTAGTTATAGACATATTTATTTAATGATAAAAATACCTGAGCTTGAAGCACCCGGTGCTTTGGCTAGATTAGCCTTATACAACTCACAATCTCTCTTCCAATGCCCCTTCTCTTTGCAGTAGAGGCAAACATCCTTTGCAACCTTTGGCTTCATATGACCTCCACCTTTAGGCTTAAGAGGTGTAGGAGTAGGTCCAATCTTACCTTTCTTCTTTTGCATATTCTTGTTCTTAGAACGAGACTTAGCATTAAAGCTTACCATAAGAACAGTCTTTCCTTTAGAGGTTGAGGCTTCATAAGACTTGAGCATGTTATGGAGTTCAGGCATGGTCGCTTTCGTTTTGTTCAAATTATAATTCACAATGAAGTTAGTAAATGAACTCGGAAGCGAATATAGGATGATAGCAGCTGAGACACGATCCTCAAACTTAATTCCGGTGGTAGCAACTCTTTCAATTAAGCCAATCATTTTGAGGACGTGCTCAGACACGTTGCCACCCTCTTGAAGCCTATACTTGAAAATGTCTGTCAGAAGTTCATACTCTAGAGTCTGACTTTCTGAATCAAACAGACTTTTCAAGTGTTCAAGCATCTCGAAGGCGGTCATCCTATCGTGTTGCCTTTGCAACTTCATAGACATTGCAGCCAACATAACACATTACACAGTTTTAGCATCAGTGACGTGTTTCTCTCGAGCAGTCAGGTCAAACGTGGCAAACTCAGGAGAGTTGGCATCAGGAATCTTGGGTATCGGTGTGTCTAACACATACTCAATATTTTCTTGTCTAAGAACTAAACACACATTTCTTTCCCAGTCCAGAAAGTTTGGTCCAGTAAGCTTGCATGTATCCAAGATACTTCTCAATGATAAATTCGACATTCCTAAAAGCCTAAAGAAGTTCAAATAGAATGGGGTGCTTTGACGTATTTTGACCTCAGATATGGCCTTGGCAAGATGGTGCTTTGACTCACATCTTAGGTAATTTCCCTAATTTAACTCACAACTTAAATTAACTCACATCTTATGACCTCATTAAACGGGACTTCCAAGATGGAAGGGTTTAGCTCCTCATTTGGAGACTAAACTTGATGAAAAATATAAAGAAAGAACTATTCTAGACTGAGCTTAGATGTATATAGGAATTGGATCATCAATTGTGAAGGAAAGGGGGTGTATTTATAGGCTTTTGGGATGGGATTCGGGTACTCGATCGGGTATATACATGGTACCCGATCGAGTATGTGTGTAATACCAGATTCGAGGTGTACTCGATCGATTTTAGGCTATGTTCCAAAGGTATACCCGATCGAGTATATGTTTATACTCGGTCGAGTATGTGTAGAAAGTGATATTCGAGCCATACTCGACCGATTTTGCGTTTAAACTCAAAGGCATACTCGATCGGGTATGTCGGTCTACCCGATCGGGTATAGACACTCAATCGTGGCCAAAATCTTCCCGGCATGTTCCCTTGTCTTCGGATCTGATCTGATTTGAAGTTTCAACCTAATACCCGATCGAGTATAGGTGATACTCGACCGAGTATAGACCAAAATTTCAGGATCCTTCTTTTTTCTTCAAATTATGCACCTTCCTTCCACTTTTTGGGGTTCACCAACTGTCCTTTGAGTGATCAAGACCTGTTTGAGCTCAGAATATACCTAATCTAAACTATTTACAAGAATTTAACAAACTAAACTATTACACCAAAAGTGTGTAATTTCCAAAGTAAATATCAAGCAAAACTAATTAAAAACACAAACATACATATGGAAATTACAAATGTATCAACTCCCCCACACTTAGTTTCTTTACTCATCCTCGAGTAAAATCAAATGTTCACAAGTGTCAAGTCTTCCAAAGTTTCCACAGTTTAAACAACATAAAAACACAAAGACCACCAAGGATAACAAAATGAGTTTTAAGCTCAAATTACAAAGAACATCTTGGGTTTTACGACCTTCTAGTGTTCATCTTCTCTCCTCCTCCTCTCTTCTTCTTCTTTTTTGTTTTCTGAATCTTCTTATTCTTCAAAGAGATACAATGAGTGCCTGCAAAAACAAACATTTCTCTCATATCTCTCATTTTTCCTAGGAGCCTTTTCAGGTTTTCATCCTAGCATCTCTTTTCATTTTCCATTCTTCCCAACTCACTCATCTTTTTTTATAAGCCTTTTTTGCTTAGATTGCCCATTTTGTTCGGTTTTCAACCTAACTAGCATTTCTTTTCTTTTATTTATTCTCTTTTTTTTGTGTGCAAAAAGTTCAAAAGAATTACATGCATAGTGCGAGGTGGAAGTTAAAATTACATACCAAGATGAGTCTCTCCCCCACACTTGAACCAAGCACTGTCCCTAGTGCCCGCCTTCTCTGCCGTAGTAGCTGCCTCTGAAGCCGCTCCTCTGCCCGCCATCTCCCATGAATGTGTCCCCACCATCTCCGCCATCGTACGCTCCACCCCCGGAGCTAGATCCTCTAAAGTTACCCCAATGAGTGGGGTCATACCATGAGGGTGGTGGAGGGGGGTTCGCCATGGTCTGAAAAGATCCCTGTTGTGCCATGTAAGAGTACATAGGTCCGTAGAACCTACGTTGATCTTCTTCATAGCGATGCCTATCGGCTTCCCGTAGCTCCTCCATCCGTTGAAATCCTGCTCGTTGCTCCTCCCGTACCTGGTCGAGCCGTTCTCCCATGTTTATGTAGTTGGTGTTCATTTGATTGTACCCTGCTAGTATTTGTTGTTGCCCCTCCAAGATTTGTTGGAAATAGTTGTGTGGAGGGGGGTCTTGGTGCTGCTCTGGGATGTCCATGTCTACATGGCCATGGGGTTGGGCAAACGGCTCGTATTCGGATTGGTATTGGGGAGGCTCTTGTTCCGGTTCTTGGAGATGTGGTGGAAGGGCATGTGGGAATAGGTAATGGGGTTCCTCTACCGCTTCTCTGTAGTGCAGTTTGGGAAGTTCTTGGTTGTGTAGGAGGAAGTACTTGAGAGCCTTGGGGTGTATGAGCCAGTTATACATATTTTTTGGTCATTCACCACCATAAACTGTATGGGAAAAGGCTGTACAACCCGAATGGCCTAACCAAGAAATGTTCATCAAACAATAGTCGGGTATAAGAGAGTTGTCCGTATACCCGAACTTGGTGGCTAAGTGCATAATTACCCCACCCACAACAATAACACCCTTGGCTGCGCTTTCCTTTTTCAGATGTGCCCACATAAGATTGCACAGATTGAAGTTCACGTGAACACGGAATAGGGCTACAGACATCAAGCATACATCCCCCATCCTAGTGTGATGGTTGTTGGGACATCCAAGCAAGCAATTGACAAGGAATTTCAAGAATAAGCGGAGGACGAGATGCTGGACATGACTAATATACAGTTGGGAGGAGCTAAATTTAGCTTCCCCGGTCATGCCTGGGTTGTTACATGCCTGGGTTGTTACATTTTTCGGGGAGTTTTCTTTGGATAGTGAACATGCCTGGGTTGTTACATTTTTCGGGGAGTTTTCTTTGGAAAATGGCCGAGACACGTTCACTAACTCTAACCTCTTGTTTCCCTTCCAGTTTATTTTTCTTTTTCATTATGCATAGTTCCTTTAAGAACTTTGCATAACGGGGAACACTTTTGATCAGTTTGAAGAGTGGGATGTGTACCTCGGAATCAGCGAAGGTCTCGTAGATGTCCCGATCATTCTTCAGCTTCCTCGTGTCTTTCAATGCCTCAGGGAACGGAGGGACTGGTTCATAAGATGAAAGTGGAGGGAATTTAGTTTTCGTTGGTTTCTCCTCTTCCGGTTGAAAGCCTTCTTCAAGATCAACCTCTTGCTTTTCCTCCTCAACTTCCCGTGTTTGCAATTCTTTACCGCTCCTTAACATGATTGCATTGACATGTTGTCTTGGGTTTTGCTCAGTTTGGGAAGGGAGCCTACCCGAATCTTTTGCTTCAAGTCGACTTACGCCACTTGAAATTTGGCTAACTTGAGTTTCCAAATTTTGAATGCTCGACTTGGTTTCATGTTGGCTCTTCAGTGTCGCTAGAATGAGAACTAGCACTTGATGTGTAACACTTGAGATTTAATTTAAACGGATTAATAGTACTACTCATACCAACAAGATGCATCTCCTTTTAAGGGAGCTCATCACCAAGAACTCCAAAGTTAAGCGTGCTTGCACGGGAGTAGTCTTGGGATGGGTGACCCCCTGGGAAGTTTCTCAGGGCGCGCACGAGTGAGGACAAAGTGCGCGGAAAAGGCTAGTGGCGGTTTGTGAGGACAGTACTATTGGTCTAGAAGTAACTACCTCGGGGCCAACGGGACCGGGGTGTTACAAATGGTATCAGAGCAACCCTGCGACAGTGTGTTGACCCGTTTGATATCCGGCGAGCACTTAGCGGGGGAAGATTCTGGGATTTGATTGAGATTTGAGATTGGTTTATGGGTGCAACGAGGACGTTGCATTCCTAAGTGGGGGTGATTGTAAGACTTGAGATTTAATTTAAACGGATTAATAGTACTACTCATACCAACAAGATGCATCTCCTTTTAAGGGAGCTCATCACCAAGAACTCCAAAGTTAAGTGTGCTTGCACGGGAGTAGTCTTGGGATGGGTGACCCCCTGGGAAGTTTCTTAGGGCGCGCACGAGTGAGGACAAAGTGCGCGGAAAAGGCTAGTGGCGGTTTGTGAGGACAGTACTATTGGTCTAGAAGTAACTACCTCGGGGCCAACGGGACCGGGGTGTTACATGATGATTCCTCTGAAGAAGTATTCGGAAATAAATTCCTAAACCTCTCGAAGGCTTGTTCTGTTTCGGGCTTTGTTTGGTAGGTGATTTGGTTTATAGATCGGTGTTTAACCATATACTCAAATAAAGCTCACAAGAATAGAAATCTAAGAACTCTTTATATTTTATTTATTTGAATTTTGTTTTGATTTTTCTTGAAATAGAATAAAAAGAAAAATTAATTGCCTTTCCCCGGACACAGCGCCAAATTTGACGTGCCCTTGTCGTGAGGTGCACTCAAAATAATTACAATACAACGATTATACGTAGTATAACGAAGTAAGGTTCGTATCCACAGGGAAAGGAATACTTTTCTTTTATATAAGTACTAACAAGGGGCGGGGGGTTAGATTTGTTTGATTTAAAAATACTAAGATGAACAACCTATATGAGTTTAATTAATGGATATGGAGGCTTGGTTTTGCTTTTATCCACTTAATGAAATGTTCGTCGATCCCAGTTATATCTTTAACTATCTTCCCCTCAAATACTCAATCGAGCAGTATATCCAGTTCATCGAGGGTAGTTATTAATAACGAGATGCGTTCATTAATAAAACTTACTATCGAGTCAATATAGAACAAGCGCCGTATATTAACTTGATAGTAGCAATAAACTTAAGATGAAAACGATTGAAATTGATATCCTCAACACAAGCAGTTTATTGGTTTAATCAATATAATTAATTCCCCTTGACATATTAACCATGAGATGCATGCATTAATAATCCAAGTTTACTACTGTTGAAAGAACCGGATTAATAACAAGCGTCTTAACCGATTGATTCTAGTAATAATTAATATGAGAAACAAAACTAGTTGATACTTTAAATGATGTTCAAAATATTAACATGAAATGTGGATAGGAATTAATTAATACTCAAGGAAGAATATTAAAGAATATGAATCCTACTATGATTAATATCAAGATGTTAACTAATTGTCATTTTAGTAACACTCCCCAATATTAACATAGAGGAAGAAATAATTATTACTATAACCAATGTCAAGATGTTAACTAATTTTCATCTTAGTAACACTCCCCAACTTTGATATAGAAATAGTATTTTAAAAGTAGAATTAATATCCAAGGAAGAAGATTAAAGAAAATAACTCACAACTTACAAATTCATTAAGCTTCAACATAGCAAAACCAAGATGGAAGAGTTTAGCTCCTCATTTGGAGACTAAACTTGATGAAAAATATAAAGAAAGAATTATTCTAGACTGAGCTTAGATGTATACAGGAATTGGATCATCAATTGTGAAGGAAAGGGGGTGTATTTATAGGCTTTTGGGATGGGATTCGGGTACTCGATCGGGTATATACATGGTACCCGATCGAGTATGTGTGTAATACCAGATTCAAGGTATACTCGATCGATTTTAGGCTATGTTCCAAAGGTATACCCGATCGAGTATATGTTTATACTCGATCGAGTATGTGTAGAAAGTGATATTTGAGCCATACTGGACCGATTTTGCGTTTAAACTCAAAGGCATACTCGATCGGGTATGTCGGTCTACCCGATCGGATATAGACACTCAATCGTGGCCGAAATCTTCCCGACATGTTCCCTTGTCTTCGGATCTGATCCGATTTGAAGTTTCAACGTAATACCCGATCGAGTATAGGTGATACTCGACCGAGTATAGACCAAAATTTCAGGATCCTTCTTTTGTCTTCAAATTATGCACCTTCCTTCCACTTTTTGGGGTTCACCGACTGTCCTTTGAGTGATCAAGACCTGTTTGAGCTCAGAATATACCTAATTTAAACTATTTACAAGAATTTAACAAACTAAACTATTGCACCAAAAGTGTGTAATTTCCAAAGTAAAAATCAAGCAAAACTAATTAAAAACACAAACATACATATGGAAATTACAAACGTATCAGACTCATAGGACCGGGGGCTACCATGTTTACACTGGGCACCGAGTGAGAAAGTTCCACCTTTTACCCTAGATCATTCACGCTGGTTGTGAGCTTCTGCATCATGTTTGCCAATGTATCTACCCGTGCAGAGAGGGCAAAATCATCACTGATTTCGTATAGGCCTGGAGCTTTTTGCTGAGGAGAACTCCTGCCACTATACCAGGATGCATTATTTGCAACTATCTTCTCAATTAGTTCTTCTCTAACCTCTGATGGTAATTGGGGAAAGGCGCTATTGGTGGAAGCATCCAACATCATCTTCCCTACATTGTTGATCCCACTGTAAAAGAAAAATAGGATCTCACAGCTGCTCATCTTGCCTTGATGGCAAGACCTTCTCAGTATCTTAAACCTCTTCCATGCTTTGGCTAACGTCTCCAGAGATCTCTGCTTGAACTCTTGTAGCTGCTTCTTCAACTTTAAGGCCTTTGATGTAGGGAGATATTCTTTAATAAAGGCGCTATGCAGCTGGTCCCAAGTCTGGAGGTGGTGGTGAGGATTGATGTCCAACCACCTCTGTGCGTCGTCCCTCAGTGAGAACGGGAAAATCATCATACGTATCTGATCATCAGTTAATCCCGGTATCTTGAAAGTTTGGCACATCCTCAGAAAGCGAGTAACATGTGCCACTCGATCTTCTGTAGGACCTCCTCCAAATTGGTTATTGGACACCATGCTTATCACCGCCGGCTTGATCTCGTAACGGTTAGCAGTGATTCTCGGGACTTAAATGCTGTCATACTCTGAAACGTCTGGCGTAAGGAATTCTGTAATGGTTTGTCCCTTGAATAGCGGATTATTGTGCGGAACGTAGGCATTGGGTGGAGGCGCCTACTGTCTAGGAGGGAAAGCAGGTCGTGGCTGAGCAGGCGGTACCTGGGTTGATTGGGATACGGATTCTGGTACGGGGGCTGATTTTGGAATGTAGGTTGAGTGACTGGAGGTGGGGTCTGTCTTGGGTGGAAGATGAGAATACCCTGCCCTGCTCCTTGCATCCCATAAACTTGGTTTTGAAAATTGGTTTCAGGAGCGGTAGGGGTTTTTTGAAAAAGTTGGAATAATGGAGGGAGGTTAAATTGTGGTGAAGGCTGATTTTGGGAAAAGATCGGAGTGCGGTAATTTTGAAAACCTTGAGGGTTTCTAGGTGAAATTGGTGGAGAAGATTGGGGTGATGTGTTGACGTAGATATCTTGTTGAGAAGTGGTGTTAGGGATACCAGACATCCCTGCAGTTCCAGATGAAGACTGATGGTCCATGGCATTCTTTTCATTATGAGCCTTGCGGTTCTAACTGGCGAGCTTTTCGATCTCAAGATTAAGAGGGATAAGCGGTTCTCCCCTCTTAGAATGTGTATGCATAAACATTTCTAACCTGCAAGGTTAGCAGACAAAAAATCCTACGAAAAACTAAAAACGGATCGCTGAGTCTAATAAACCCTTAAGACCGACACCGTCCCCGGCAACGACGCCAAAAACCGATGTGAGTTTTCTCGCACTTAAAAAGGTTGTAGAAAAGTGGTTGAAAGTACGAGTATCATCTCCACATAGACGGACAAAAGAGAATTAAAGATCAATTAAATTCAACGATTAAAAAGAAATAAAATAAAACAAAATGCAATTGTGCGAGATTGGGTGGTTTGGAAAATAAATTAATGCGAATGAGCGAATAAAAATAATTGATTGGGTTCTTCTTAATTAATGACGAAGGGAAAAGGGATTGAGTCCGGGGTAACCAGATTTCTGGCAGATCAGGCTTAATTACATGAAATTAATTTAATTGAGCCTAGCTAATCAATACTAAGTTCTTACCGCTC